TGTCTCTCTCCTCGCGTCTCTCTCCCTCTGACTGACGGACTGAGTGGAGCGTGCATTTCAGGGAGCGGTGGGGTAGTGGTTTAGCGCGCGCACTGTGCACCCGGGCGACCGAGTTCGATTCCCTCTCACGGCCAACATCGGTGACGATCACCCGAGTCGGTCCTGGGCCTCCCACCTAGGTCGACTCGGCCTCAAATGTGGTGTGTAAAAACGCCGCCACTGGAGAAGACAAAGACGGTCTGGCGCAGTGCTGGCCACCCCCCCCCCTGGTGTACCGTGCCGATCTTCACAGGTGCTCGCTAACAGCCAACAGCTCCGCCTCTTATTACACGTTTTTTTATAACTCACTCTGCTGTTGTTGTGTATCCTCAAATCTTGTAACTCAATTTTAACCCACTTCCCAATGTGGTATCGACTGCAAACTTCGTATACTTGTCATGCTGATGACAATACTATATTCTATCATCAAAAATAAAAAATATTTGTAAACAATCTTTTTTTACACGCTTTCTATTAACTCACTCTGTCTGTTGTTGTCGTATCCTCAAATCTTGTAACTAAATTTTAACCAACTTCCCAATGCGGTATCGACTGCAAACTTGGTATACTTATGTCATACTGATGACAAACACTATTTCTATCATTAAAAATAAAAACAAATATTTTTAAACATTCTTTTTTACTGTTATGTTTCGGCTTGGGTCTAATTGTCCACGCTCAACTGACGTTGGCTGTAATCACCACGGTCCCACGTTGTGGCAAGCCTCAGGGCCACTTCCTGGAGTCGTGGAGTTCTTCCATTACTAGTACGGTACATTTCAATAAAGCGTGTTTTAAATACGTTTTTTTAAATGACTTTTTTCTGCATGGGTTTCCTCCAGGACGCTGTGGTAATCAGTCAAAACAAGATTCTATGTTCACCATTGAAACCTCCTTTGCCAGTAGCAAAATATGATGTTTTTTACCCTTTTATCTGGAAACAAAACTGACCCTTTTTTTGGCGTCATCTGGTCCAACACCATGTGAGACTAGGCTCTAAGAAAGCGTCTCGGGTGTGGACCAATCAATTTCAAGGACAGTGCATACATTATCAGAGTTGTTTTTGTTTGCATTCCGACCGCAGGTATTGTGGTCAATGCAAACATGACTCCTTGTAAAAAAAGGTGTCAATTTTGTTGCCAGATAAAAGGGTAAACAATCTATTATCAAGATTCTATGTTGTTCCAATCTGCTTCTGACTCTAAATGTCTTCCTGATGCAGTATTATACAAGGTGGTCCAAAAGTTAGGACACATAGGGTTGTTATACAGTTCTAGATTTGAAGCTTTCGTGACTGCAAGGATTCATATTCTTAGGTTTTTCGGTAAAGTCACGTAGGTAAAATATTAAAGTTAATAAAATAAAAATCACGACGTTTCGGAGGCAACACAAGCTTCCGTCTTCAGGTGGAACCGTCACAGCCACGACAAGTGATACAGCTATCGTGCCGTGACGGTTCCACCTGAAGACGGAAGCTTGTGTTGCCTCCGAAACGTCGTGATTTTTATTTTATTTCACTTTATTAATTAAAATTTTTACCGAAGTGACTTACCGAAAAAACCTAAGAATTTGTATACAGTGTTGGAAACTGGGTTGAAACCGATTCGGGTGGCGAGAACAACGCGATACAAACATTGGAAGGAAGGTCATGAACATGGAAGGTTCCAGTGTAGAGACTGAAAAGGCAGGTCAAGCAAGCGCATGAGAAGCTGTGAATCAGCTGATGGACTGTGGATTGGATTCAAGATGAGTTGAGACTAATTCCACTTCAGCTTGGACTAACCCCCCCCCCCCCCCCCCCCCCACTTGAGCTTGGACTAACCCCCCCACTTCAGCTTGGACTAACCGCCCGCGTCGTGCGTGGAGACGTCCTTCCGCTTGCGACGTGCAGGACTGCAGTACATCTTACCTGCTGCGTGACAACGGGGGGGAGAGAACAAACACTGGACGGTGCACGCCGCATGCACCACCCTCCTGTCCACAGTCATCGCGACAGACCCGGCTGGAAAACACTCGTCGTGAAAGTCCATCAGGCTGCTGGACACGTTACTTTATTTTACTTTCGACAGGAAGCGACAGACCCCCTTTGTTTTACCATATCAGTTATAGCAATTTTAACATTCCTCTAGGTAATGAGATATCAGTACAGCAAGCGGGTTCGCGATACCCGTTTCCAACAACCGCCGAGTGTTGTTACGCCCACAAGAGTCAAAAGTTTTTCTCCGGCACGCACTCCGGGTTTTCCTCCCAACGGAACGCTCGTTAAAATTCATCACTCCCAACACGGCGAGCGGATCTCCGAGTCCCCCGAGCCTCAGCTGTGCTTCATCGTCGGCCCCGGCTGGTGCAGGATGTATCGGCCGACCTGCCCGTCGCGCTCCAGCTCGACGCATTATGTCGTCGCGATGCATGCGCCGACGCAGAACCAGGTGGCGCCGGCCGTCCCGCCAGTAGCTCTTGCTGCGCAGGTTGTAGCGCGCGGCCACAAGGTGCACGCACTTGCGTTCGTCAAGCGTCAGCTCCGACGAGAAGGTGAGCTCGTCTTGCCGGGACGACACGGCGTACTCCCGGATCACCTCCTACACGCTGCGCGCCGTCACCGCGCTGCCCTGGCTCGTGCCGAGCCCCTCGCGCGCCATGCGCTGGTGCACGGTAATGGGTTCCGAGATCCCCTCGCGCCCGGCCGCGCCGATCCCGCCTCCCGTCCAACCCATCTTGCGCATCAGCTGGCTGCCCACGTTGTCCTCCGACAGACGCTCGCCGCCGCCGCGTCGCAGGATGTCGCGGCGCGACACCGTCGGCCCCTGGGCGACGTTGCCGGCGTTGCCGTTGGCCGTCGGCGTGATGGTGGGGCGGGTCTGGCGCAGGAATTCTAGGCCCTGCTCGGCCACGGTTTGCTTCACCGCCTTCTTGGGCCCCACGGCGCTGGTGACGAAATCGCCGCCGATGTAGAGCGAGCAGCACCAGTGGAACACGCCGCTCGAATCCATCTGCAGCGGCTCGAAGCGGAACTCTACGTCGGTGCGGTTGAACTGCGCCGAGTTGTTGAGCACGCACACGGGATTATCGGCGTTGTCCAACACCACGAACTCGCGCAGCGTCGATCCGCGTCCGTGCCACTGCCCGCCGCAGCGCTGCTGATGCATCGTCAATTGCTTCGGCGGCGCTGCCGCCGCCGGAACGTTCCGGCTCTTGGGAGCGGGGTCGCAGAAGGGGTCCGAGAGCGCCGGCGGCAGGTCCGGCCTGGCCGGCTCCGAGCGGTCGTTGAGGACGAGGTCGTGCATGGCGGCGTCGTGCTCGACCGAGCCGAAGCCCGGGTTGGCGCTGGGCGCGGCGCCGTTGTTGCCACCGCCGCCGCGCCGAAGCAAGACGCTGCTGCGGTGCCGCGTGACCTGCTGCACGTGCACCGAGTCGCGCAGGAAGAGGCTCAGCGCCCGCTGGGTGGCGCGGTCGCGGGCGCCGTTCTTGCTGCCTGAGTAGCCGGTGGCGAGGTAGATGAGGCGGCAGCGCAGCTCGCAGGCGTAGCCCTGGGTGGGCAGCTGACGGTCCTTGGGCAGGTCGGCGGGCGCCAGCCTCGACAGCTCCACGTACGTGTACTCGGGGTTGCAGCCCGACTCCTGCGCGGCGGCCGTGAAGAGCTTGCTGAAGTTGAGCTCGCTCCTGAAGCCGCCCTCCTCGTGCAGAATCCGCTTCACCACCTTTGGTCACGGGAACAAGGGCGAGGGATGAGCGAGCGTTAACCCTTGCCGCCTGCGATGCAGCCAAGAGGCCGCGAATCAGAGGTCGCAACCGGGTTCCCGATACCCGTACCCTACCCGATACCCGGCTACCCGTTCCCGGCTGGGTACGGGTACGGGTACCTGTTTGCGACCCTGGTGCGGCCGAGTACGGGTAGGCCGTGAGTCACCGGTGAGTAACCGTTTGTCACTCATTTCGGGTAGGGTACGGGTAGCGTACAGGTACCCGTACCCAGCCGGGTACGGGTACGGCCGGGTACGGGTACCCGTTTGCGACCCTGGTGCGACCGGGTACGGGTACGGGTAAGGAATCAAAACCTGTTTGCGACCTCTGCCGCGAATACGGTTCGGCATCGTGGTTCCACACAAAAAGGGGGCGATCGTCTCTAAAACATTGATGGTACCGCCTTCGTTTGCAGCGTCCGTCTTTTACGTTCCATCCCCGTTAGTCCGTTCACAGGTCGCCCTTGCGTACAATGCGGGGCGTTCGTCATAAATTTGACGTCAAATATTCAATAAGTTTTACTTCATCATGTGCAGGCAGACCTCGCTTAGTGCCGAAGATGCATTCATATTTACGTGTACGTGTGTGTATGTTGTGGGGAGCGGTTGTGCAGCGGTTAGCGCGCTGCGCTACCAACCCAGCGACCCAAGTTCGATTCCCACGCACGGCAAACACAGTGGCAATTATCTGAACCGGTCCTGGCTCACAGAGGTCGACTCAGCCTCAAATGAGTACCTGGGGCGGTGTTTAAACATCACCACTCGGGAGACAAAAGCAGCCAGGCGTGGTGCTGGCCACCCACCCCCTCGTGTGCCGTGCCGGCCTTCATAGGTGCTACTCGCTAACAGCACTTGCCCCAACAGTCTGGTCAGGCTATACGGGGGATCTTTAGTCTTTTTGTGTCTGTAGAACTTGTCGCACCGTACATAGCCAAACGTGCTAATCCGAGGTGAAGTGAGCGCCAATTGAAACAGGACTAAAAGGGTCATTATGGCATTGTATAATATTCGGGGATGTGTTTCCAAGAGCATTATTTGTTTCGTATGAGCAATGTATGCGGGCTTCATTGGGGTATCGGTAATGGAGCTAATAATACAGGTGATCAACATTATACTGGTAGGAACCTCCTGGTTACACCAGCCCACAGGGGATTATTGTGTCCGTCGTGCAGGGAGGGGCTGGGTGGGGAGGGGATGGTGGGGAGGAGCTGGGTGGGGAGGGTGGGAGGGGTGGGAAGGGGCTGGGTGGGGAGGGTGGGAGGGGTGGGGTGGGGCTGGGTGGGGAGGGGCTGGTCACCCCGTGGTGCCCTTATAAAACTCAACGTTTAACCTACTCACGCCGGCTTGTGCCCGCCCTCACAGTCGGCCTTAGTTGCGGAATACACCACGCCGCCGTTGACCCTGGCCACTGACCGAGCAACCCGACGTTCCTACCAGCTCCCTCCGCAGGAATGTGTTTTAATAAACAAACAGGGTAGGGAGGCCCTACCAGGAGTACAAGACTCCAGGCGATATAGTTCGGAGGGTCATTGATGTCTATTGTATCATTGTGCATTTCCCCCTAACGTGAAATTTTATAGTATGACCATGAACAATTTTCTACCACTACCAGTTTATTTGCTTTGCGACAAATGATGCATCCAATGTGTCTTCGTCGATACTGATATTATTCTAGTGGGCACGTCAACCTGTAACACCTAATTTCTGTACTTTTGGGAAAATAATCTCTCCACCATGACTGAAAGAGATGCCGCTCTAAAATCTCGCCACATACAAATCTGCAAGGAATAAAATGGACGTGTGTCATGAAGAGAGCAAAACTTGACTTTTCAAATCACATGTGCGGGATACTGGCACCCTGTCCCACTTGCCTTCTTTCATCCATGCGGGTTATGTTTGCGAGTGCTGTTTAATACAATTTCTGCAAATTTAAGTTCCACAAATAAGGGGTCTGTAGTTCTTGACCAAAAATGTTGGCTCTTGTTTTGTGATAACCAAAATGAAAGGGCCCCTCAGTAGTGGCAATTTTTTCCGAATAGGGAGTTCTCAAGCAAAACGTCCATATCCCGAAAACCCATTTTTCTCATCTTTGCTAAACAACGACAAGTTAAACAACAATTTCTTTTACATAAATCGGTTCACACCTCCCCCGTAGGATTTCCGCGGTGCAAGAACATTAATCACCTTGTGCAATCGTGTGAAGATAATCTGCCTCGGTTGAATCTTGATCTTGTCGAACGGCGACTGCGACTCCGCCTGCTGTTGCTTCGAAGGTTGTGACAGGAGCGGCTGTTTCACCACCGGTGCCGCCTTCACCGGCGCCGCCCTCACCGGCGCCACCGGTGGTGCCGGCGACGTCACCGCCACCGCGTTCCAGCTGTCCTGAGTGGGGTCCCCCAAGGAGTCGGTGAGTGCCGGCAGCACGTCCGTTCTGGGCGGCTCCGCGCGGTCGTTGAGGACGAGGTCGTGCATGACCGAGTCGTCTTCGGCGGAGCCGAGCCCCGGGTTTGCGCCGTTTTTTGCCGCGGTGAAGCAAGACGCTGCTGCGGCGCCGCACAAACTGCTGCACGTACACCGAGTCGTGCAGAAAGAGGCTCAGCGCGCGCTGGGTGGCGCGGTCGCGAGCGCCGTTCTTGCCGACCCAAAAGCCGGTTGCCAGGTAGACGTGGCTGCAGCGCAGCTCGCAGGCGTAGCCCTGGGTGGATAGATGTTGCCCCGCGGGCAGATCGGCCGGCGCCAGCCTCGACATCTCCACGTACGTGTACTCGGGGTTGCAGCGCGAAGCCTGCGTGGCGGCCGTCAGGAGCTTGCTGAAGTTGAGATCATTCCTGAAGCCGCCCTCCTTTTTCAGCATCAGCGTCACCACCTTTGCGTCCGAAGGGGATTGGGGGCAAGGGTTACCATTTACATTTTACACGTTTCCCGTCAAGATTTCAATTGTAAATACATTTCGATTTAAAGCTTTCGTGACTGCAGGGATTCATCTTCTTGGTTCTTTCGGTAAAGTCGTGAGAATTATTTTATTATGTTGTATTTTTATTATTTATTATTTCCATTCTAAGTGACTTTACCGAAAGAACCAAGAAGATGTAAATATATTGTTTTCCTCTTCTTGGACTTTTCGGTAAAGTCACGTAGAAGGGAAGTAATAAAAGAATAAAAATAAACAATAAAATAATTCTCACGACGTTTCGGCCACAACGCAAGCAGCCGTCCTCAGATGAAGAACAGGTCAGGGTTGCGATTTC